GGTTGCCGGTTTCTCTTGTAAGCACCTTCCACAATAAATAATCATCTTTATTCCTCATAAAGTGTGTGATTTATATTACAGTGACACATATTGGTCATAATTTATTAGCTTCTTATGTGCTTTTAACCATTGTGAGATCATGTTCAAACATGAATTTCAACTTCATTGATTTTGGCCAAGGCAAGTGGGTGGAAGAGACACTTGTTCTGCTCAGAAGAGTGACATCTTATTGTACCCCACCTCCTTATACATTTGGCACAAACGTAATTCACAATTCTGTCTTTGATTTTCATGAGGTTAAAAATAGTAAATGTATAACTTCTTGGAGAGATGACATGCTTACTTAGTCACTTTAAATAACAGCTTGCTATATTATGACATAGTCACAAGCAATTTCACATGTTTCTGTGCATACAAGGATTCTTTTCTAGTCAGTTTCAGCTGAGAACTCCACAAGCGGAATCAAGTAGTCAATGTTAACAAGTAAGATGTTATACCTATGAAGAACTATGAATATAGATTGAGGAGATCTGTGAAGACTGGAAAGGATTACAAGAAAGTCATGGGGGAAACATGAACTCATTCTTTGGTAGGGATATGAGTGGTTTTCTTCCATCAATCACGTTGAAAGAATTCCTAGCCATACCTTGGACTCCCCGTAAAACAGGCCTGGGAGGTCTAACAGATGAGTGTGACTATCCATGAGTTCTGATGGAGGAAGAACTAGAGGATGCCTGCAGACATGAAGCCATTCTGTACTTTAGAGTTTTTAAGAGTTTTAAGACGTATGAGAACTCTTTTGGTTTCAATAGCAAGAGCTTCATGCTTTGAATACGAATCTGGGCTGTAAGAATTTGCTCTTGAGTTACAGGCTTCACCTTTCTTGCCACATTGGCACACAATGTCTTTCTAAATCTTAGTACCCTAACTTGTCCCCCATTTTCTCTGTAGCATGGGCCCTCCTCAGCCTACCCAGGCACATAGCACATGCTTACAGAACCTGGGCATAGGCCAGAACCTCACTCACTGTCCTGTCTTGGCACTTTCTGATAAGGCAAGATTTCAGTGAAGCTCAGCAAAGGTTTAGTATCACATGTTGAAATCTCTCTTTAAGTACAAGGAATATGCCCCTCCTTTTGTAGTTATTTGATGTCAACTTTGACATAATTGCTATAAGAATTAATATTTCTCAGAACAGTTAATTTTTTCAGTAGTAGATAACTAAATATATAAAGGCCAACTTTGAAATGATTACCTAAATTGTTCCAGTATAAAAAAAAACTTGGGAGCCAGAAATTGAGATAAAGCAGATAGTCAATTGTTTGACCTTCTCTCCAAGTTTTTCCTGATCCACCAGCTACAGAAATCACTCTAGAATCCCTTTTCTCTCTTCCTGTACCTCTCTAGTAGACCCCTTCAGGCCTCTAGCAACTCTATGGCTGATTATGATCAGCCAATTGCTGACTACGTTCTTTGATTCAAGGTAGCTTTATTGGCACAGTGGAATGTCCATATGAACAATTCTCCCACATTTTCGCCTTTTTGTTTGAATAAAAAGGAAAGGTTTCAATTCTAATGTAGTAAAACTATATACAATAAGAACAATTATCAAGTAATAAAAACATTCACAATGTTCAGTCCCTTAGTAGTATTTGGCAGATTCAGAGAAAATACTCTATTTTCTATTCTATTTTGGTGAATTCAAAGTTTTGTACCTAATTTATTTTCTATCATAAATTTTAAAAAACCTCATCAAAGACTCAAGAAGGACATAATATTACCTGAATAACCAGGAACTGTAGAGCAAACAACTTCCAAAACTGTAGAAATGACAGACATCTGGCTGCCTAGAGAGTTACCCCCCAAGGTTTCTCTGCATCATTAGGGCATCCATCTTTGGTCTACAGGCCTAGAATATCTAACAGACTTTTCTGTGAATCAGGAATTTTGAAAGACTGTTCTAACTTATCTTGGAAAAGTTTCACAGTCAATTTGTACCCTGCTTGTCCAATTTGGACACCATACTGTCAACAGTTAAGGCATGGGAAATTTCTTGCCCAGTAGCTAACTTTACCACAATAAAAACAAATTCCATATGGATGTTCTTCAATGCCCATCATCCTTTTTTGAAGTAAATTGGTGCTTCCAGGGGCAGACATGTCTCACTGTCATGAAAAGCCTCATGTTATTAAAATATCTTAAATGCCATATTCTGTAGGTCTCTAAAGTATTTAAAGACCATCTGACTACTTAAAATATATCTATGTTTGACCTTGAAAACATACCTAACATGACCACAAAATTTAATTGTTATAGATTACTGCTAACCTACATTTTTTAATTATCTTAAACAGTTTGTAATAATAGCCTTTCAGTACTATAACTTTACATTAAATTTTAAAATGAGCTATATAGATACAATACCTTAAACAAGAGTAGAACATACGTACAGTATGTTAAAATAAAAATAACCTTAAATTTGTATGGGTAATACAAAAATACCTTAAAGAAGAGTAGAAACATATATAAGAATAACAAAAATAACCTTAAATTTGTATCAATATACAAAAATCCATACCAATGTAAAATATTTGAGACTAGTAGTTGTTTTTAGTTCAAAAGTAGCCTCAACAATCCTTTCCCCCCATCATTTCTATACTATGTTCCTCCTCCCCTTTTCCCTTCAGGAACAGATCCCTGAGTCTAATCTTCTTTGTTTAGCTTTTTTCCTGACCATGATCAGGAAAAACCCTCCCTCAACAATGACAAGCATACATCGAATGACTAAAAACTATCTAGCCCACCTTTTGGATATGTGGGAATCATGTTCTTAAAATTACTTCCTGTTGTCTGGGGACAATGGTATCTTTAGGGTATCCTGAAATTTTTGAGATAATGATCAAGGTCTGGGAGAACTAGCTGATGGGAGAATGCAAGGCTTATGTCAATTCCCGATTGAAGTAGTCTATGAGACTGGACCATCTTAGCTAACTGCTTTGAAGTTGTTCTGAGCAGTTTTTAGTCCAAAGCTGATCTTTTGGTGGTTGTTTGTCAGCTTAGTGGTGTTACAACAGTTCAGGCAGACTCATTGTTGGGGGGCCCAACATCTTTTTGGAGACAAGATGTTTACCTATTACTGGGGAAAAAACTAACTTTTCTGAAAAATATTAATTTTTATGACAAGAAGGTAAGAAAAACAAATTCCTTGTGCTTTAAGGGAGATGTAGATGTTGGGTCCTTAAAATGTGTCAGAGAAAATTCATTCTTTAGTCACCTTTCTCATCCCCCACACTGGAGTTTTAGTAACAACCACAGATGCTGTCACAGTACTTTCCATCCCATGGGAACAGAGAATACAAGGTTGTATAACTAGAAGGTTACTTGTTTCCAACCTGGTAACTTGAACTCTGCAGTCTTTATACTGCAATGAGAACAGATTTCATGTCTGTGGCATAAGGTCATTTATTTATTGTTTTTATTATTTACTATCAGAATACTTGTTTAGTAACTCTTCTAAAGACTACTGTAAATCTAATAACAGTTAATTAAAACCCTAGAGATAATCTATAACCTCCAATATATCACTCCCACTGTGAACATCCTTTGTTGAATATCACAGGATAAGCTAACATAATAGAGGAACTAATATCAAAACTAATTTAAAATGACAATGAACTGTCATCCACTTGACTGATAGTTAATTAAAATAATAAAATTAATAAAGTTGGTCTTATTTTTCTTTCATTTACATGAAAATAAATTTTATTAAGATTGATATCATGCTTTAGTGTTGTATGAGCTGCAAGAATTTGAACAAGAATAATAATAAAAACATTCCCTGTGATGGAGAATCCTCACAGTCCTGAGCTTTAATACAAAATTTGATTTGACATTAAGAAGAGATATGGCTACATGTGCCCCAAGGGATTTACTCACACAATCTTCGTATTAGCTTTCTCTAGAAAAAAATGCCTGGAAGGTACATTGTCAGTATTAAAGGTCCCTTTTTATAAATATTATCATTTTACTACTATAACACAATAATGAGACAATTGACTTAAGAAGAGGAAGTATTTATGTTAGCTCACAGTTTTGATGTCTCTGTTTAGGGTTGCTTGGCCCAATTAGCTTTTTTTATCATGGTGAGGCAATAAATCATTGTGAGGCCATAAAGTGGGGAAATCCCTTAGCTCATAGTCGTGAGGAAGCAGAGGGAAACATTTAGGTAATGCTGAAATCATTTAATTTCTTCCTTTAAGGCCCTACTACTTAAAGACTATAACTACCCAATGGTAACATAGTTTACTAATAAGCTGTTAACAAAGGGGTCTTTAGAGGACACTTATCCAGACCATAGCACACAGCAAGTTGATATTTGATTTCCTACATTTCAGCCTAAACATATGCAGGAGAAAATACACTCATTATAAGATGTCCTTACAAATATAACTACAATATCTACCATGGAGCATGAATAAAACATTATATGCTTATTCTTCTTTGTTGTATGCTAAAAAAATTAATTCATGGTGAGAAACTGGGAACTGTAATTAAAATATCATATTTTTCAATGTTCCCATTTTCTTCCAACTTTCTTGTACAAATAAAATTAATTAAATAATCTGGTGGTAACATATAAAAGAAATGGATACATGAAGCAGGAAAAAACATGAAAGAAAATTTAAGACAAGCAAAAGAACACAGTGATATCAAAACCTTCAGTAAATTCTTAAATTTTAAAAGATTCAACTGTTTAAATACTGTCAGTAAGGAGGGAGGTTGTTCAAAGGGAGAACCAGCCAGAGGTCCAGACCAATTAGAAGATGACAGGGATCAATTTCTCATGCCAAATGCATCCTCAAACTTTCTAGTGTAAAATAAATATGTTTATTTGGAATTTCATTTCCTCCTACAAAGCATCAATTAATTATGACTATTCTATTAAATGAAAATGCAAAAGGATTCACCATGGACCAATATGAAGCAGAAATCACACTCACCATCTCTTCGATTCAGTCTTGCAAAGCCAGGGCCATGACTGTTGGACAGCTGGGAGGAGCTGCTGAAGGACAGTTGAGGCAAAGAAGAGGCCAGTGGAGCAGCACAGTTGTCTGCCAGAGAAAAGCACGGGATATGTTAACACATAGGCTGTAGGACCATCATAGCTTTACAAAGTAGTGTGGAGGCTGGGGAGATGACTCAGTCAGTAAAATGATTGCTGGGAAAGTATGAGAAGGATCTTAGTTCAGATCTCTAGCATCCATGTACAAGACATGTCTGAAATCCCAGTGCCAGGGAAACAGAAACAGAATGGTCCCTGTGGCTTGATGGTTAGCTAGTGTTGATGAATCTGTGAGCTCCAGGTTAAGAAACCCATTTGAAAAAAAATAAGGTGGTTCAGACACCAGCAAATACCCGCATAAACAACACACACACACACACACACACACACACACACACACACACACACATTTGTATGCAGGGTAATCATCACTCTCTTAGTATTCTAAATTTTAATATCCGTGTTACATTATAATTTAGTGTGAAATTGTTGTTGAATTTAAGTTGTTTAAAATGTATACAGTTCTCTTAGCTTTGACTAATGTATACAGCTGTATAATCTTTACCCTAGTGTAGAACAAAAATGGATCCACCAACATAAGCATCAACATTTCCTCATGCCCTACATTTTCTTTCTGATTATACAAGGTGTCTGAGTATGTCAGTAACATATGACTATTATAAACAAAACTTGATGCTTGAATTCTTCAGGTACATAAACAGTGACCCTAAACAAAATAAGATAGTCTGTATTCAAATCAGACTTCCCTACCATACAAGACTCATCCTTAGCACTGTATGGTACAGAGCTAGAAAGACTTGCTCTTGAGACCTCTGCAGTGACAGTACCTAGGAACACTTACAATCTCTAGGGACCACACTTGCTGATAAGGCTAACAGGCTCTTCCTTTTTGTCTGGTAATTCTACCTTCCCAGGGTGGCCCTGCTTTACAGTCAAAGCACTTCTTACACGTCTCTCATATTAGAGCAATCCTCACTTGCTGATTTTGTGGGGTTTTTTTTTTGAAATACTGCTTCATTGATTAAAAGGATTAAGGGATATCTAAGACAGATTACCTGCCTTGTTATCTATCTATGTAGGTCCTCGGGTCTCCTCTGCTTCTGGAGTCCACATGCTTCAAACTTCAAGAGGGCCTGGAATTGTTTCTCTGTGGGTAGCTTTCCTGTCTGCACTTTGGGTTGCTTCTCTGTACTTAAGGATAGTTACATTTCTGTTTTTTGGCATCCATTTATTTTCTCATAAGGAAGTCACATTTTCCTATTTTACAGAATGATTACTGATCAGTTAATTTTAAAATGTTTTATATAATTAAAATGTTTTAATAATAGACTAATGATATGCCTTGAATATATAATTAGCAGATTCAGAACTGTATAGTTATATATACATGTGTGCATGTGAGTGTGTCTGTAGGCAAAATTTGTTACAACTTATGAAAGAAAGTAAGCATACAGAATTAATTATATTGCTATTACCAGGAAAATGTTAACTCACTCAATGGGACAGATGTAATAAGTGGTCCAAGAAGTCTCCCAGTAATGTTTTAGTGTAGTGATTAGCTTTCATTGTCAACTTTACATAAGTTAAAATCACCTGGAAAATCTCAGTGAGGTGTTTCTTTTACATTGGGTAAGTTTATGGGAAGGCATGATGTAGGGGAATTACATTGATTAAGCTAATTGATGTGGGAGAACAGTGAGCAGCACTATTCCCTGGGAGTAGTGTAAGAATAGAGAAGTCAACTGAGTAAGAAAGCAAGAAAGCATGTGTTTATTCATCCCTTCTCTACCTTTGTAGATGTGATCTAACTACATGTCTCTAACTCCCACCATTTTGACTTCCCTAAAGCAAAGGACTGTAACCTGGAACTGTTAGCTTAAAAAAAAACAAACACTTTATCCTCTAATTTGTCCCCCCCAAGGTATTATATCTCAGCAACAGAAATGAAATTAATAGTTATGTTAAGAACATGACCTAGGGAACAATAACCACAAAATTCAGGGCAAAATCTTAGACATAGAATTTGCCTAAGTGAATATGATTTTTATAACATTACATATGATTAAATTACAACAGCTTTTCTAAAAGCACGTATTGCCATTGTTAGACTGAATTGTTTTGCTTAAAATTATCCCTCTACATATTTTAACTTTAACTTAAGGTTTTCTTCATAAATAGTGAATTCTAATCTAACTTGCTAAATAATTCGACCTTTACATAAACTCAATGAATCATAACAGCTAAATGTGAAGACTGCCAAAATATGAAGACAATAGGAAAATACCAACAGTAATTGATTAGGAAAGTTTTGTATGTCATTTCTTATTCTTGGATTATAAATATAGCCTACAAATATGGTCACTGGAGCATAAGAAGAATTCTAAACCATTTACAACTGCTGTTTGATTCAGGAAATGGTGTGTGTGTGTGTGTGTGTGTGTGTGTATACATATTCACATGTATATGGTTGTATGTGTGCATGTGTATGTATGCATGCAGAGGCCTTAACTTGGTGCATATATTGCTAATCACTCTCCACTTTATTTATTGTGTCAGGATATCTCTTTGAATCTGGATTTGTTGATTGGCTAGTCTTGCTAGCCATATTGCTCCAGGGATCTCCTATCTCTGCCAGATCACTGGCAGCTAATAAACAGTATGCCTGAAGCTAGTGCTGTAGCTGTTGGAGAAGGGGGCCAGTGTGAAAGGAGAGAAGTCAGTTTCTGATGGTAGAATCTGATTCCATTTCAGCTTTCATGAATCAAGGGGCTTGACTCCCCTTCTTGTTCAAGCCTGTCTGAGTGTTAATTGCCTATACTTGAGAGATAGTCAGTGAGTACTCAGCCTTTAGTCTTTAACCCATGTTTTAGTCCATATCAATGTATCACGAAGGATTATCATTCTTGTATAAGCAGTAGCTTTATTATGAATACCAACAAATATCCTGCCTAGATCTTCAGGTTAACTATGTAACTAATTCTTTTTTAATATAATATTTTATTAATTCTTTTGGAATTTCATAATTCATTGTGGTGATATAGTATTTGCGATTTAATAAAGGTTGCCTGAAGTATCAGAATGCAAAGTCAGCCATACTAGTTAGCTGTAGAAGCTAGGCAGTGGTGATACACACTTTAATCCCAGGACTCGAGAGACAGGCAGATGGATCTCTGTTAGTTCAAGGCCACATTGAGTTACATGAAATTGATCCAGTCTAAAAAAGAAACAGCCCATGCAAAGGTGATCTCAACATTTGAGATCACACACCTTTAATCCCAGCACTAGGGAGGTGGAGACAGGAGTGATATGGCTGGGAGGAGAGAGGTATATAAGGAAGAAGCAGAGTCAGTCTCGGAGATTTCTTCTTCAGCCATGCTGAGAACAGGACAGTCCTTTCAGCCTGAGGTAGTGATAAGATCTGGTAGCTGGCTGCTTTGCTTCTCTGATCTTCAGCTTGGACACCAGTATCTGTCTCTGGATTTATATTATTCACGTTACAATGCATACACTGTATTTTGATCCTATTCACTCCAGCTCTTCCCTGTAATTTCTTCCAGATCTATTCCACCTCTTCCCAACTTCATGCCCTATTCTTTTTATTTTTCTTATAACTCAACAAGTCAAAATTGTTATGTGACTTGTTGAGTTATAAAAAAAATAAAATAACCCTTCTACTGGTGGGTAGTTGATTTACAAGGGACCAAACACTTAAAGAAAAATTAGCTATTACTCCCAGTAGACAACTACTAATAGCTCTTCATCTAAGGATAGGGCTCCTGAATCCCTTCCTCCCTCTCTGTTGGAAGATTGACTTATTGGCTTTTTCTTATGAAGGCCCTTTACAGGTAGCTACAGATGCTGTGAGTTCATGAGTGCAGGAGTCTTGTTATGTTCTAAAGACACTGCTTTATCCCTTCCTCCCAAAGCTCTGGCTCTTACTATCTAGCACTACCTCCTTCTTGATTCCCTGAGCCTTATTTTCACAGCCTCTGTTTATTATTGACCACATCCGACAACCACTCTACAGACCACCACAGCCGAAAATCATTTAAAAACACTGCACTGCACAACTCACACAAATAAGAATCTTAAACATCCCAAATGGATCTCTATTGAATGTACTCTGAAGGTCAAATATGATGTCTCAGTTCTTATCTCCTTCCCTCTATTTGATTCCTGTTCACTACCACTACCCTACAGTTGGATCCTGCATTTCTCAGATGAATTCCCTCCTTTAATGGTGGTTTTATTGCCATTTACTGAATGTCATGTGCCTAAGTCAATGAACACTGGTCAAGCAATGTCTTTGAAACCTTGTATTAGAATGCCCCCACCCATCATTTCTCAGCCTTTTGGCTAAGACCAAGTGTGGAATGCCCCCACCCTTCTATTCCTTACAACTTATTACTCTAGACATCAACTCCAGCTTCCAACTCACTGTGCCCTAAAGCCAATAGGATACAAACAGATGCAAGGATTAAAAGGAACATCAGGATTAAAATGAAATCAGGAACACTAACACGGAAAAATAAGACCCTTCCCAAGAAGAATTGATTTCTCTTTACAATAAATACTCTTCCTTCAAGGTTTCTCTCTGAATTAAACATCTTTTAACCTTATCCTTCATTGTCCATGAAATTAACTCTTCAGATTCCCAAGACAAAGGACCTGTACACACTGACTCAGTGAAGACTTTGGTGATGATAAATGTCAGGCACCATAACTACTAAATTAAATATCTACAACAAGAAAAATCTCTGTTATATTTAAAGATCCACCATTCTTCCATGCTAAAATGCTAAACTATGTTTCACACAAGGTCATTTATGCCTTGAGAATAGAAGAAACATCCTTCTTACTCATAGAGAGTCACATGAAGCAACAGGTGGGGAGGAAAAGATACAGAAGGATGTTACACTGGAGGGGACCTTGCTGTGTGAACAGGTAGCTCTGAGGTAAGGGAGAAAGATGATGATGATCTATTGGATATTTGCTCCCAGAAAATCCCTGGGACTTATGTGTGAAAAC